TATGAGTCAGTCTAAAGACTGAGTTTATTTAGTAAGACGTTTCCTTAAAAATAAGTCAGCCCTGTGCTTTCATTTCATTTCAACAGTGAGATACTGGTACACCATGTCCTTACCACTGACAAAACATGTCATTCACCACACAGAAGATTCAGCCATGACATGTCATGAAGGAAAATGTGTTTACAGTATTTCAGGAAATTACAAACATAAGTGAGAGTTTGGTATTAAAAAAATCCTGTCTTGGTGTTATGTTAAAGACGACCTGACTGGGGTTGTTTTTTGTTAATGTTATATATGCTCATAGGAGTACTGTATTGATCTGTCATGGTGGTGATGTCAAGAATAGTGCAACTGCAGTTTTTCTTTTTAAGCCAGACTCATTAACTTCACTTACAGTTAATCTACCTCAAGTAGAGGTGTGCCAAAAACAAAATTAGATTGTGTATTTGAACTGGTTTACAGTGTGCAGAGAAATTATACAACCATCCCTAGAGCGTGTTTGGTCAGAGTGTGTTGTGAATTATAAGAGCAGGGGGAGGTTTATATTAATGCTAGTAGCAAATAGAAATGACTATTATGTCAGTTCATGGAAATGTTGAATTTGAATGTTCACCAAGGACATATTATTTCATCTAATTATTATTTAGTGATATGAGACAGTATTTTCTGATTTGAGATTAGTTAAGTGGCTCAGTATTGTGTAACCTTTAAAAACTTCATTACCCATGAGGCTTGGCGTGTTTCCCAAAAGGCTTAGCAAGAAAACGAGGAAGTGGGTGGTGTTCGAGAAAAACTGGAACTAAGTGCAGACGTGATTTTCCTGTAAGGTGTTCTAAAGCAATTCACTAAAGTTTAAGTTCAACTTCAAGACAAGATCTCGCCTCACTCTTTATTTTGAAGAAGCTCTGTTGAGCTACAACAGAGTGGGTTAAATGGTTAATGATTTTTGGCATAAATGTATGGTTTTATTTTCTTTTAGGGTAGTTTTTACATGAAATATGTTGGATGTTTCATTGTTGTGTAATCTGGAATATATAAAAAGTAAAAATGTTTTACATTGAATATCAAAGGTACATTATGTAGTAATGAAATAAAAATGACATGCTTCTGTTCTGGGAGTTTCGTGACTATTGCTAGTAGAGCTGAAAAAATCAAATAATTGATGCATCCAGCTGTGGACATAAATTATTCTGACTTGTTGAAGAAGCACACAATAATAGGTTATTGTTGAATGCAGTTTTATTTATTTTTTTAACCGTGGCTCATACATTTGTCAGAGTGGGACGTGTCCCCCACATTTACCAAGTAGGAAATATTGGTCCACCTTTATGTGGTTGGGTGGGCTGAGTGCTGGAGTTGTAACCTGAGACCGAACCCGAACCGAGTAAACCTGATGGATTCAGTAAATTATGCTACTTTAGCAGGTTGGGTCGCACAGCGCGCTCTGGGCGTTTGAAAAGCGAGCTAGAGAGATGCACAGCATGTCTGCTCATACATCAGAGAGGATATGTGCTAATATTATTATTTAAGAAGTGCTTAAAAAACTTAGGTTCAGTCGGGTTCAGTCATGTCAGACCAAGCCCCCATAATCCTGGGATAAACGGGAAACCAACACGGAAGTGGCTAAAATTGTGTGTTGTGTTGTGTGTGTTGGTGTTGGTTTGTGTTCATGCATGAGTTGTGATGCTGTCTTCTCGATCCCGATGAGTCGTGGCGGATGGCTTATTATACTGAGCCAGGATCCTCTGGAGGTTCCTTCCTGTTTAAAGGGAGTTTTCTTCTTCACTGTCGCTGCATGCTTTCTTAGTATGAGGATTGCTGTAAAGCCACTGACACTAGTCAGTGACTTGATGCAATTTGCTGGGTTCCTTATATAGGAAACTTTTTTCTGATTGGCTTAATGAACTGAACTGTATTGGAATGTTTACAATGCGACGTGCCTTGACATGACTCTTGTCGTGATTTGGTGCTATACAGGTCCTTCTAAAAAATTTGCATATTGTGATGAAGTTCATTATTGTCTGTAATGTACTGATAAACATTAGACTTTCATATATATTGGATTCATTACACACAACTGAAGTAGTTCAAGCCTTTTTATTATTTCTAATATTGATGATTTTGGCATACAGCTCATGAAAACCCAAAATTCCTATTAAAAAATTGGCATATTTCATCCGACCAATAAAAGAAAAGTGTTTTTAATACAAAAAAAGTTAACCTTCAAATAATTATGTTCAGTTATTCGCTCAATACTTGGTCGGGAATCCTTTTGCAGAAATTCAATGTGGCGTGGCATGGAGGCAATCAGCCTGTGGCACTGTTGAGGTGTTATGGAGGCCCAGGATGCTTCGGTAGCGGCCTTAAGCTCATCCAGAGTGTTGGGTCTTGCGTATCTCATCTTTCTCTTCACAATATTCCACATATTCTCTATGGGGTTCAAGCGGGTTCAAGTCAGGAGAGTTGGCAGGCCAATTGAGCACAGTAATACCATGGTCAGTAAACCATTTACCAGTGGTTTTGAAGAAGAAAATATCATTTCTACAGCGCCTCTCAAGATAAAAATCATGAGGCGCTTCACAAAAACAAAACAAAAAAAATGTAAAACTCTAAAAAAGCATTTAGAAAATGTTTCAAAATATATTTAAAATGAGCAAAAATAGGCAATTGGGATTTAAAAGAAAAAATGTTAAAAAAAAGAGAGTGAATAGGAAAGAGGGAAATCAGTGGATCCTGAGGAAGGTGGAATAGGTGGGGAGAGCAGAATAAAGAGAGAGGGGTGATGAAGGTCATACAAAAGCCAGCTTGAACAAGTGAGTCTTCAGCTGCTTTTTGAAGGAGACCACTGAGTCCACTGATCTCAGGCTCAGGGGGAGAGAGTTCCAGAGTCTGGGGGCCACAGCAGCAAATGATCTGTCACCTTTGGTCTTTAGCCTGGTGCTGCACAACCAGTAGGCTTTGATCACTGGACCTCAAGGACCTGCTGGGGGTGTAGGGACTAAGAAGATCACCAATGTAAGATGGTGCTTGTCCATGTAGGGCCCTATAGACCAGAACCAGGATCTTGAAATGAACCCTGAAGTTGACTGGCAGCCAGTGAAGCTGGAGGAGAAGCGGGGTGATGTGGATGTGTTTGGAGGTCTTGGTCAGAAGCAGAGCACAGGCATTCTGAACCACCTGCAGACGGTTCAGGGAGGTTCTGCTCAGACACGTGAAAAGAGAGTTACAGTAGTCTAAGCGTGAGGAGATGAAGGTGTGGATAACTGTCTCAAGTTCAGAGCAAGACAGAATGGGACTCAGCTTAGCAATGTTCCTGAGATGGAAGAAGGAAGAGCGAACAAGAGAACTGACATGAGAATCCAGGGTGAGAGCTGGGTCAAAGGTCACGCCAAGATTCCTGACAGAAGGTTTGGTGTGAGAAGCAAGCTGACCAAGAGAGTCTCTGACTTTGGGAACCTGCTTGTCTGGGGGCACAGGTGAGGATCTCAGTCTTATCTTCATTCAGCTGTAGAAAGCTCCCAGCCATCCAGGTTTTGATAGAGTCTAAGCAGGTGTGTAACAGCTGCAGCTTAGACATCTCATGGGGCTTAAAGGAGATGTACAGTTGGATGCCATCTGCATAAAGATGGTAGGAGATTCCTTTGAAGGTGATCAGGATGTGCTGAAGAGAAAGCAGATAGAGGAGGAAGAGCAGAGGCCCCAGCACAGAACCTTGTGGGACACCATGGGTAAGGGAGGTGGTGGAGGACCTAAACTTCGAGACGGCCACAGAAAAGGAGCGCTCAGAGAGATAAGAGAACCACTCCAGAGCAGATCCTGATAGGCCTACCCAGTCTCTCAGCCTCTCCTGTAGCAGGTGATGGTCAACAGTGTCAAAGGCTGCAGTCAGGTCCAACAGGACCAGAACAGAACAGTCCCCTGCATCACTGTGAGTCAGAAGGTTATTAGAGACCCTGGGAAGTGCTGTTTCAGTAGAATGAGCTCTATGAAAACCTGACTGGAAGCTATCATAAATGTTATGTTCATCAAGAGCAGCTGTGAGTTGTTTAGCCACAACCTTTTCCAAGATCTTGGAGATAAACGGAAGTTTAGAGATGGGTCTGAAGCTGCTATGGAGAGAGGGGTCGAGACTCGGTTTTTTAAGAAGTGGGTGGATTACAGCGTTCTTAAAGTAAGCAGGGACCTGACCAGAAACCAGAGAAGCGTTAATTATAGAGAGCACGCTGGGACCGATGGACTGAAAAGCACTTTTAAACAAAGATGAGGGTAAGATGTCCAGGGGGCATGCAGAGGTCTTCATAGAGTTAACTAGTTTGGTTAACTCAGGCAAAGAAACAGGAGTAATGCTATCTAGGATGATGGGCCTAGTTGGAGTCGGGAGAGGCGGCGATAAGGCTGAAGGAGAGATGCTAGATCTAACCTTACCGACTTTGTCCACAAAGAAAGACAGAAAGTTCTCACAGTCTGCAACAGAGTGGATGGAGGCTGTAGGAGTGGCAGGAGAGACAATGCTGGTGATGGTGTTAAACAGCATCTTGGGGTTCCCTTTGCTCTGGGACACCAGGTTGGAGAAATAGGAAACCCTGGCGTCTGTGACTGCAGAGTTAAGGATGTCAGAAGATCCTTTAGGTGCAGCAGATGGACGTGGAGATGGGTTTTCTTCCACAAACCAGGGTCCGAAATTAACACTCGCCACTCGCCAAATGCGAGCAAATTGCTCCATTTGGCGAGTAAATTTTTGAGCTCTACCTGCCACCTGGCGAGTAAATGTTTTCACCAAATTAGTTATGTTTATCAGTCATCTTCCATGGATTTCTGATACTCCTCCCGCCTGCATGCAACGTACACAAACATACGCGAAACGTGAACGCCGCATCCAACGTAATTTCCGCCTATCCCATTCAATCAGTTTATCAAGTTAGCAGTTAGCTTCGTGTTAAAAGTAGCGGTGAAATGTGGCGGTTTT